TACCTCTCTCGTGAGAAACCTGTATGCGGGTCAAGAAGCATCAGTTGTAACCTTACATGGAAAAACTGACTAGTTCAAAATTGGGAAAGAAGTACAACAAGGCTATATATTGTCACCCTGTTTATTTAGCTTAAATGCAGAGTACATCATGCAAAATGCCAGGGTGGATGAAGCACAAGCTGGAATCAAGATTGCCAGGAGAAATATCAATAACCTCAGATATGCAGATGATATCACTAATGGCAGAAAGTGAAGAGGAACTAAAGAGCTTCTTGATGATGGTGAGAGGAAAGTGAAAAATCTGACTTGAAGCTCAACATTCAAACAACTAAGATCATGGCATATGGTATGGAAAATAGATGGGGGAAAAAGTGAAATCAGGGGCAGATTTTATTTTGGGGGGGCTCCAAAATCACTGAGGACAGTAACTACAGCCATGAAATTAAAAGATGCTTGTTCCTGGGAAGGACACCTATAACAAACCTAGACAGTGTATTAAAAAGCAAAGACAAATGTCCATATAGTCAAAGCTATGGTTTTTCCAGTAGTCATGTAAAGATGTGAGGGTTGGACCATAAGAAGGCTGAGTGCCGAAGGATGGATGCTTTTGAATTGTGATGTTGGAGAAGACTCTTGAGAGAACCTTGGACTGCAAGGAGATCCAACTAGTCCATCCTGCAGGAAATCAACCCTGAATATTCATTGCAAGGACTGAAGCTGAAGCTCCAATACTTTGGCCACCTGATGAGAAGAGCCGACTCATTGGAAAAAACCCTGATGCTGGGAAAGATTGAAGGCAAAAAGAGAAGAGGGTGACAGAGGATACGATGGTTAGATAACATCACCGACTCAATGGACATGAATTTGAGCAAACTCCAGCACCTAGTGAAGGACAGGGAAGACTGGCGTGGCATAGTCCCTGGGGTCACAGAGAATCAGACATGACTTAATGACTGAACAGCAACAAATAACTTATATTAAAAGGAAAAAGTAAAATACAAACATGAGATGAATACTACAGAGCTGCAAGTGCATGAAGAGGTAAAATCATGGCTCCCCACACACAAAAGAAGAAAGTACTATGATGAAAGTGTTGTATAAATTTAAAATATTATTCATGCCTTTAATATTATATTGTCCTTTCATTTAAAAAGACGAAAAGCTCTCTGGCAACCTCAGCGTCCGGAGAAGCCATTTTACAAGGCTTTTAGCATTACAAAGCATGATCCCAAATACTTTGGTCCTAGCATGAACTGCTCTCTCCCTGCAGTTAACTAGACTAATGCCTCTCTTAGAATGAGGTTTACAAGCCTATTTCAAGGATAATAACATACTGCTTTCCTGGGATGAGACTTTCATCCTGATGAAGGCTCTAGTATATCTCCAAAGTAAATGATCCAGGCTCAGCTCATCTCACTGGATGCAAAACAAGCCTGGGCTTTTAGTCACTAACATAAGACAGGGCAGGGGAGCCCCTACCCCCTGGGAGGGCTGCCCCATGGTGGTGCACAAGCACCAGAAGTGTCAGAATTGGGAATCTGGGCCTTCTGTTACCATGGAAGCAGATGGTGGCAGAGTGGGGAGGAATGTGCTAGAAGAAGCCACAAAGGAGGAAAACTCTGGTGGCCTCATCTTTCCTTCTCCCCTTCCTCTACTGACAATTCTGCAGTAAAACAGGTTGTTTGTCTCATAAGAAATCATGCTGCTATCTTATATATCCTCATTTATAGTCCTGATATTAACTTACAGATATTTTCCATGTTGGGGTAGAAAGAAGAAAAAAAGTTGAGCCTATTATCTATTATTCTGTGATGCTTGTGCTCAGTATGTAGGATTGGGAGAACAAAGGATACCCTGTGGATTTTAACTGATTCTTTCTCTCTCCTTGGTTATGTTTGTCACAATCACCTCCTGAACACCATCACTCCTGTCACCTCGGATTAGAGTTTTTCTACTTGAGTTTCAAGAGCAGTAACTCTTAAGAGTTTTTATCCAGAGCCATTAGAACAAAGAAGCCTGAAAAGAGCTCTGAGTTGCCTACTAACTCTCCATATGGAGGTTCACAACCTACATCCACCGTGGAAAGCTTTGCATGTAAATGAGGTGAAAAGGAAAGTTATTTAATATGACTTCATGGTTAAATAAAGCAACATGTGCTCAGAAGATGTCTTCCTCTCTTGAGCATGCATTATGTTCTAGTCCTATTATTAGTAGTTGGTCCTTTGCACAGACTCCTATAGGGGATGGTTGCCCTTTGATGTTCTCCTTATTTTCTGCAACCTGTAGATGCAGAGTAATCCATGAGATTGGGGTGACAATCACATATCTAACTTTCATGCTACCACCCTGTGCCATTCAGAACAGTAGCCACAAGCCACTTGTAGCTATTTACGTTGGACTGGACAAGTTCGTTTGTTGGCACAGAAAAGATGGTGCAGAAAAACCCAAATAAACTTTCTGGCCAGCCAAATATTTCAATTATTTAATTCTAATTAAAATTAAAAATTCATTTCCTCAGTTGCACCAGCTGTATTTCAAGTGCTTGTATCACATATGGTTGTGGCTACCATTTTGGTCAGAGCAGAAGCAGAAATTTCTATCTAACCTTGTTGCTGCTGTCACTCATAGAAGGAATCCTCTTAGCCTTCTTCTCATATCATCTTCTACATCCCCCATGAGACTGAATTTCTCTGAAAGCATGGATGGGGTTGTGTGACCTCTGATACCTAGCTCCTAGTCCAGGGCACTTTAGGGAAGGCCACTCACAAAATATTTGCCAATAATACAGATGATCCCTTCTCTTTGCCCTACAGCATGTGCTTACTTTGGTCAATGCTATAGCACACTCCCCTCCCCCAAACCCCACCAATTTTTAAAATTGGTTTTCATTCATTTTGAAACCAACACAAAAAAGCTGAGAAAAGATAATAAAACTCAACAGGCAATACTCTCACCTATAGAAAACCGCTCAAAATTCTGTAGTATTTTCATTCATTTAACAAATAGATATTTTTATGTACTGAGGTATAATATGCATGTGGTAAAATTCACCATTTTCATCTAACGTGTGTATGATGTATGTAATCACCACTATAATCAAGATATAGAACATGTCTATCAGCCTCCAAAAGTCCGCTTTCCTGCTTCTTCATGGTCAAACTTCTCTCACCTCCCCCTCTGGCAATCACTGGTCTGATCTCTGTTCGGTCATTTTGACTTTTCGGGGAGGTCACATAACTAGCCTTGTCTAAGTGGCTTTTTCTGTCTCACTTCTTCCACTTAGCACAATGCTTTTTAGATTCACTCATGTTGTTGACAATATCTTTTCCTTTCTTTTATTGCTGAGTAATATTGTATTCCATGGCTACACCACTGTTTATCCCTGCTACATTTGGTGGGCTTGGCGGTTTTTCCCGACTTTGGGCAATTATAGAATAGGGCTGTTATAAAAATTTACACACACATTTTTATGGGTACATATGTTTCCATTTCTCTTAGGAAAATTTCAAGGAATTAGATTGTTAGTCATGTAATAAGCATATGTTTAATTTTATAAAAAGCGCCAGACTTCCAAAGTGGCCTTACCAGTTTGTTTTCCCACCAGCCAGGTATGAGATCTTCACTACCATACTGTATTTTCCATTTTTTCTTAGATGAGTCATTCTAATACATGTGTGATGTAGCTCACTGTGGTTTTAATTTGCATTTCCCTAATAATTAATGATGTTGAGAGTCTTTAATATGTTGTCAGTATCTCTATTTGTGGAGTTTCTGCTCGGATCTTTTCCCCATTTTTAAATGGGGCTTTTTGTACTCCTTTTATTGAGTTGTAAGAGTTCTTTATATTATCTAGATGCCAGAATTGACAGAAATGTGTTCTACCAATATTTTCTCCCAGTTTGGGGCTGGTCTTCACTTTCTTAACAATATCTTATAAAGAGAGGACATTTTTAATTGTGTGGAAGAACAAAGAGACATTTCTAACTATCTGCCATAGGCTGAGCTTTGATTGGCACTGGAAATATAATAACGCCTCAGCTTACATTTGTACTTTTTCTTTTTAGCAAAATAGGCATCTGTTGGTTTATAGCCTCCTTTTTCACTGTCATATCATGACTATTTTCCACATCATTAAATATTATTCAAAAACAGGATTTGTAATGTATACATAGTACTCTCATGGATATTTCTTAATTTATTTAACTATCCCTCTCTATTTTGGGGGTACTTGGGCTTCCCTGGTAGCTCAGTTGGTAAAGAATCCACCTGCAATGCAGGTGACCCCAGTTCTATTCCTGGGCTGGGAAGATCCGCTGGAGAAGGGAGGGCTACCCACTCCAGGATTCTGGCCTAGAGAATTCCATGGACAGGAGCCTGGCGGGCTACAGTCCATGAGGTTGCAAAGAGTTGGACACGACTCTGTGACTTTCACTTTCAAAAAATATGAGGGAGAAATATATGATTACCATCCTTCGCAGAAATCTCTTTGAATATCCTCAATTATTTTCTTAGTATAAATGCTTACAGTTGCAAAGACTTAGACAAAGACATAATACTTTGTTTTGTAATTGCCTCTAAAGAAAGACAGCTGATGTCTTGAAGATCTCATCTTGCCCTCTTTGTCATGCCAGTACACGACAAAGAGGCTGTCACATTGTCAGTGCATCGCACATACTTGATGGATAAATATTATAGTTGGTGAGAAAAAGAATTCCCCTGAGCTTGATCCTATTCCCTTCCTCCTGTGAAAGAAAGTAAGAGTACCCTTCACCTCTCAGATGAAGGGAATAAGAAGAAAGCATTCTTCTAAGAGAGAACTGGTCACAGAGATGTAGGTTCCCAGCAAAGCTAGGTGACAGGCCCTGTTGCTGCTCAGCAAAGCCCTTAAGAGGCCCCGCCCCCAGCCCATATAAAGCCAGGGTGCAGTGGGGCGGCTGCAGCGGCTGGCACTCAGCCTCCAGAGCACCGGCACTGCACTGCCGCTGGCCTTGGCACGCGCTATGGCAAATGAAGTGCAAGTCCAGCTCTCCCCCCTGAAAGGGGGGCATCCTCCTGCAGGTAGGCTGCCCACCTGCCCTCTGCCCTGCAGGTTGCAAGGCCCCACTGCTGCTGCCTCTGCCCCGCTTCCATCAGTGCCTTCAACAGAGATACCCCCATAGAGTCAAGGCTCTTTGTCTCCCGTGTTAGTTTAACTTCCTGCAAACTGATTTCCTCTTCTGTCTTTGATCCTTTTAGGCTTATGTACAAAAACCCACCTGGGGACTTAACAGGCCCCGGTTTGGTTGAATTAAAGCCTAATGTTCTGTGAGAGCACAAGGGATTGGGCACTGGTAGAAAGGAAACAGGTGGAGAGCTTGGACATTCCCTCTCTGGCTGTAGGTTTGTAGTGACCCGTCCACACCCAGGAGGTGATTTACTGCTCATGGAAACCTTCCTCCCTAGAGGTCCCAGCTTGTAGACTCAGTTTCCCCAAGACGCTTATACATTATCTGACTTGGTGCCCAGGCTAACCAGCTTCTGTGCAGAAGACAGCAATGCAGTTTCTCTCGCCCTCCTCAGGTGTGGGGTTGGGCAGTGTTATCAGTAATGGCTTTTGTCTGTCACCAGGCTGAGGAGCACTTTTAAAAAAGGATACAAGCCTGGCAGGGGCTGACGGGAAAAGGTAGCTATCGAAGTATTTTGCAAAGGATCCACAGCTCTGTTTGTTGTTGTTGTTTTTTAAGTATGCTATTTATATCAATTCTCTGGAATATGAAAATTATTTTTATTGTACTTAACCATATGTTCATATAGATTGGCTGAGGCACTCAGGCCTATTTTTAGCCAGTTTGATGTTCTTTCTACTGCCTTTCTCATTTTTTTCCTTGAGAATTATCTCACAAGCTTGACTGCTTTGTTCTTGCCTTTCGCCAAATAACAGAATTTATTTGTTGGCTTCATTCTTTGGCTCTTCTAAGCCCAGGTTATTTCAGTCATCTTTGCTGCAGAAGACAATGGCAGGTATAACCTTCACAAAGCATCAAAAGCTGACCCAAGGCTCGGTGGCTTTCCAGTGAGCAGCCCAAGCAAAAAAGAGTCAGAATTTTTACACTAATTCTGAGTTTACACATCTTGGCACCCCGTCATGGTCTCTTGTGGCAGACTCCTGACTTTTTATATTTGTCATTGGATTTAGGAATAATTAACATTATCTACATTTAAAGTTAATGATGCTAACTAATGATCAAGAACTATTGATGTCAATTATCACAAGTTTCTGAAAGTGAAAGAGAAGTCGCTCAGTCGTGTCTGACTCTTTGCGACTATAGCCTACCAGGCTCCTCCCATGCATGGGATTTTCCAGGCAAGAATACTGAAGAGGGTTGCCATTTCCTTCTTCAGGAGATCTTCCTGACCCAGAGATTGAACCCGGGTCTCCTGTATTGTAGGCAGACGCTTTACCGTCTGAGCCACCAGGAAGTCCTATCTGGAAGGACTAACTTAGAAGTTTCTACCTAAGGACAAAAGAAGACATCTTCCTGCAGCTTCCATCCCAATCCTTCATAAAACAGTTCAGCTAACGCCTGATTTGCTAAATGACATTTATACACAAAGAACACAGAGGTAAACTCAAATAAAAATGTGAATGAAACTACCAGGAACTTTTTACCCCCACTGCTAATGATTGCTAATTACTCTGTGTACATAGCACACCATGACGCCATCAAGCATGTCACAATGCCTCTGGCATGACAATTAATTATTATGAACTGTGACACTACAGATAAGAGGTTTGGGATAATTAGAATGGAGATGAAGGCAGACTTCTGCCTCCCCGCTGAGAACAAGGGAACAAGAAAGCCTCACACTCATCCTTCAGCTTGTCTACTACATAGTTTAACTCTGAACCAGATTGCTACCACACAAAATTTTATTTATAGAACAAAAACAATTCATTGCCAGAATTCCATTAAATTTCACCTGAGTTTTATAAGCAATAGACAGGCCCCAGAAAGTAGGACACAGACATGATAAGGTGGAAAGGTCTGACATGGCCTTTGGAACCAGTCAGTCCTAGATTTTACTGCTGCTTCCCTTCCACATCGCTGAGCCTCAGTTTTCTTATCTCTAAAACAGGGGGTGTGTGTGCATGCATGCTCAGTTGTGTCTGATTCTTTGTGACCCCATGGACTGTCCATGGAAGGGGTAATAAATAACATTGATATTGTAAGGGTGTTATGACTATTAAAAGAGATAACCTATGTAAGGTACCCAGACATGAATGTTAATCCCTGTAAAGTACAGGCCTGGGAAAACACATAGCTGTCAGAAGAAATTATTTTCTTCCATGGCAAGGCCTCCTGATGTTTGAGGGAGGCATTAGGATCTACTGCAGTCATCAGAACAGAAGGAAATTGCAGTGGGAAAGAACCATGTGCTTGCCCCATCACAGCTAAAAAATGAAACCACTCAAAAGTCAACCAGCTGTAACTCTTTCCCACCTACGCAGCAAGTGTGTAGTGGTTTTTTCTTTCATGTGTGTTATATAATGTATGGCACCTCTGTGAGCCCTGCTTATTTATGTTGTGAAACAAGACTACATTAAACATGAGGTGGCCTGGGCGCTAGGAAGCTTAACTTTTGGTTTTCTGCTGTTTTGATTTACCTCACTTTCAGTTTTATAAGAACACCATCACATGAACAGCCCAAGCTGTGCAAGGAGGAGGTAATCTAAGGAAGCTAAGGGCATACATATTGAACCAGAAAGAGCAACAGTTCCTGGGTTTTCTGTATCCCTCACACTTTTTCATTTGGCATAAGGCAAACAAATCAGAGCCATCAAAGGGGCCACTACTGAACCCCCAAAGAGAATCTGTTTACTGACTCATTCAAGAGAGAAGGAAATCCATGGGGTCCTCCAGGCGCCTCTCTACAGGGGACTTCCCAGGCAAGAATATTGGAATAATTTGCCATTTCCTTCTCTAGGAACTCTTCCCAACCCAGGGATTGAACCCCAGTCTCCTACATTGCAGACAGATTCTTTACCATCTGAGCTACCAGGGAAGCCCCGTGTATCCCCCAGGGTTAAACTAATGCAGAAAATTGGGAAGAAATCATAGCTGCAGAAGGGCCAGTATGATTTTTTTTAAAGCAAACACTAGAGGCTTAATTCTATCGACTCCAGCCTGTTCATGTCAACTTCTGGGAGTTGATCTGTGAGGTTTGACAGAGAGGTTGCAAGACCACTACCCCACACAGCACAGGGCAGGGGTTTGATGGCAAGAGCAGTTGCTTTTCACTTAACCCTGTGTGCCTGGCACTCCACGGAGCTTTCTAGACGTGAAATCAACCCTGCAGACCGATGATGTTCCCACCTCCCTGTTTCACAGAGGAACAAACTGAAAGTTAGCAAGGTCAAGGCACATGCTCAGCACCACACAGCTGGAGAGCTGGGGTGCAGAGATGGACAGTCACATGGACCTATGCCAAGTCCTCTCTCCTTGATTCACAAGCTATTCCTGATGACGGTCTTTTGATGGCTAGTTTAGAATTTACCAAAAACTCAACTGTGAAAGCAAAGAAAGTATTTTGCACACATCTGACTTTTAAATTAAAATGTTCAAATGAAAGTTCTAAGTCACAAGGCAGAGTTTGGCCAAACCTTCATGGTGGTCATCTTCTTCACACACATGCTCCACTGATTACTGAAGGAAAGAAGCTCATTTTTTCTTGGAGGTTTGTCTTTCTTTATCTTAACTACCCTCTACCAAACAAGATGCAAAATGCCTGGAAAATCTTAACTGGAAAATTATTATATAGCATTCTAAACTCAAGGATCCACTTTTGAAAACTACAAAAATTCGTAAACTGCAAAAGTGACCACAAAAGTATAATGCTTAGTCATAGATAGGAAATCAAAATTTTGTTTTCTCCACATCAATGTAGGTTTTCTAATGAAACTATTTAAAAAAAAATCAGCTCTCTCTTACATTCTTTAAAAATCTCTAGTTCATTTTGCTTATTAAAAGGACCTGAAGTTTTGTATTTGAAAATATTTGTAGTCAAAGTCCTGTTAAAATAATGTTAAATCAGTTCATTTTGTACTTTGCCCAATTCTAGTTGGTTGTTCTACAAAGGTTCAAAAGGCAATATAGTCCCAAACATGGAATTACATTAATAATTGCAAACTTAATTGACCTAATTTAGTGACAGTGAGACTTTGAGGTCTCATGAGTTAGACCAACTAGTTTAAACAAAACTGGCAAGAATCTGGTTGCAAATGTTTTTTAAAAATGGCTTGTTTAGGGAATTCTCTGGTGGTCCAGTGGTTAGAACTCTGAGCTTTCACTGCTGAGGTTGTGGGTTCAATTCCTGGTTGGGGAACTAAGTTCCAGCAAGCTGCACAGCTCAACCAATAAGAAAATGAACAAAAATAAAAAGCAATAACAGTTTAAAAAAAAAATGGCTTGTCTAGATCCAGGGAGATCCAGGAGATAAGTGTCAACAGTATTCTCTGCAAAATTTGGAAGATGACCCTCCTACAAGGTTCCAGTTGGTTCAATCACCCCAGTGTAGTGAGAGCCTTACTCTATATCTCAGTGTAGCCATCTATCCTGTTGAGGGATCCTCCTCTGCTTTTTCTCCTGTACATTGCTGACCAAGTGAGATTACTTATCAGAACAAGTTTGGTACAAGAACTATCCTCTGAAAATCCAAGGTGTGGTTGACTTATGCTTCCTAAATCACTTGGAGTCCACAGCCCTGGATAGATTCAAAGACTCTTGGATGAAAATAAGAATCTTGTGAGAAGAATTTTTTCAAAGTTTGGTATAGCTGCTTGGCAAATGGTGTTAGTTGCTGCTGTACAAGGAAATGAATCAGCCATATGAATACATATAGCCCCTCCCTCTTGGATCTCCCTCCCTGACCCCCACCCCACCCTCACCCCTCCAGGCCATCACAGAGCACCAAGCTGAGCTCCCTGCACTATACAGTAGGTTCCCACTGTCTTACACGTGCCAGTGCACACATATCAACATCAATTTCCCAATCCGTCCCCTTTCCCCCAGCCACGTCCAAACATCTGTTCCTTACGTTTGCATCTCTCTTCCTGCTCTACAGGGAGGTTCCTATGTACCATTTTTCTCGATTCCTTATATATGCATTAATATACAATATTTGTTTTTCTCTTTCTGACTTACTTCACTCTGTGTGACAAACTCTAGGGTCTGTCATGAAGATTTTTAATTTCCCCTCAAATGTCTCTGTTTTATTGTTCTGAAGAATGAAGAACTCCCATGTTTGCATTCTCTTTACATTTTTTTCTTTTTTTTTTTTTGGCATTTGCTTTTGTAAGTGCACTGTATTCTTTCGAAAGGGAGGGAGCATGATTTTCTTTTGTAGGTAGATGGGAATAGTTAGAATCACCTTAAAGACGTTACAGTAAAAACCATCTAGTAAACTTCTACTGAATTCCCCAAAATCCTTCTAAAATATTCAAGGCAGACACACTTCTTTTTAGCACACTGTGGGGCCAGAGAACATACTATTGTACTATGCAGTCTACTTCACTTTGAATAAAACAGTTATATGCAGCCAAGCTCGGCCTTTCAGGAACTTTTGCTCTTTGGTTTTCATTTTCTCCTCTGGACTTCCTTGGTAGCTCAGATGGTAAGAGCATCTGCCTACAATGCGGGAGACGAGGGTTCGATCCCTGGGTTGGGAAGATCCCCTGGAGAAGGAAATGGCAACCCAGTCCAGTATTCTTGCCTGGAAAATCCCATGGATGGAGGAGCCTGGCAGGCTACAGTCCATGGGGTCACAAAGAGTCGGACACAACTGAGCAATTTCACTTCACTTCTGGATAAACAAATGTAAATAATAATAACTGCTAATTATTAAGTGCCTCCCATGTACCAGGTGCTTTTGTCACCTCTATTTTCTAGGACAACTCATACGATCAGTATTATTCCCTTTTGAAGGATGCAGAAACTGTGCCACAGAGGAGTTTAAGTATTTTGCCCAAGGTCACAGAGCTCAGGCAGGGTAGAGCTCTCTGGCCCTAATAACATTTCCTCACCAGGAAACCAGGCCTCCTCCATAAGACAGCCTCTAAAACCCTTGAAAATGACACCATAAGTTTCCCTTGTATCTCTGCTTCCTCAGAAGTGATCTTTCCAGTGTGACATGGCTTCTTCTCCTCTCTGGTCACTCTCCTCTGGACAGTCTCTAGACTGTCCATGTCCTTTCAAATGAGCAGCACAGATCCCAACATTCCAAAGTTCTTCTCACTTTAAACTAGTGCTCATTTTAACTATAACAAGTGTGCTTCTGTAGTTGGCAATAATAATCAGTGGAAAAAAACATGTGAAAACCATTACATCTGAGAAAACAAAAGGAGTACTAATAGGAAAGTAATTACAACATTCCATGTTTAAAAAGCATTTGTCATAAGAAGAATGAAAGGTACTACTGAAGGCTACTGAAGACCCAAGCTCTCGGTTTGGAGCTATTGTGATTTGATTCCTCTTGGTAGAAGAGACAGTGGTGCTGTAAACAACACCCTTCATACAGAGGCATACTCTCCTCAAGCAGTCTCCGGAAAAGGGCACCCCTGTTTATTTCATCTCTATTTCCCATGACTATTCAAAAAATGTTTCCACATCATTTCCGTTTCTGCTGCTGAGTATTTTGTATGCTGTGTGTGTGTGTGTGTGTGTGTGTGAATTTAAAGCAGAGCCTGGTGGCTCAGATGGTACAGAATCCACCTCAATGCAGGATACCCAGATTCAATCCCTGGCTTGGGAAGATTCCCCTGGAGGAGGGAATGACAACCCACACCAGAATTCTTGCCATGGACAGAGGAGCCTGGTGGGCTACACAGTCCATCGAGTTGCAAAGAGTTGGACACAACTGAGTGACTAACATACACACGTGTGTGTGTGTAAACACAGGACTTTTTTTCTCCTGAACTATATCTAGTATTATAAAAGTATAGTGATATGCTTTTATTAGCAATAAAAAAAAACTTGGTTATTCAAAATGACCAAGAAGAGTTTATTCCATGAACACAAGAATGGTTTGATAGTAAAATATTCATTAATATATACTTATACAATTTTTTATCCATTAACATAATTAACCACATTAAGGAGAAAAACCATATGATCATATACATGAATTATAAAAGGCCATCTAGTCAAATTCAACATGTATTTGTAATTTTTTTAGCCAATGAAACAGTAATTGAAGGATATTTTCTTAATATGATAAAAGAAATGTATTTGAATAGGTATATATATTACAAATATGTGTTTGTGTGTATATCCAACTAAGTACACATTATACTTAATGGGAAAACACTAAAAGCAATCCCTTAAAAAATTAGGATGACAAAGATGTCCATCATGACCACTATTTAATATTATTCTAGATGAAGTAATATTATATTGCTTGCAGATTATATAATTTTTACCTGGAAAATAGAAGGGAATCAACAAAAATACCATAAACAATAAGACATTTCAATAAGATATGGATATAAGATCAATGATATTACTATAAGAACAACAATCTGTGAGAGCTATAATGGAAGAATAGACCCTCTTTACAATTGCAACAACAACAGCAAAGCGAAAACGCTTAGGGAATAAACATAATAATAAGTGTGTAAGATTTATGTGAACACGTTACTGAGGGACCCAAAAGAGGATGTAAAAAATGGAAAAGCATACCATGTTCTTGAAAAGAGAGCAACCAGGATATGAAGGTATGAATTTTCCCTTTAAAAGTAATCTAAGGGCTTCCCAATGGTTCAGTGGTAAAGAAGCGCCTGTCAATGCAGGAGACACGAGTTTGATCCCTGGTCCAGGAAGCTCCCACATGCCATGGCGCTAACTCAGCCCACGCACCACAACTATTGAGCCTCTGCTCTAGAGCAAGTGCTCCACAACAATGAGAAGCCTGCGCACCGCAATCAAAGAGTAGACCCTCTGGCCGCAGCTAGAGAAAAGCCCACACAGCAAGGAAGACCCAGCCAAAAATAAGTAAATAAGATTGTTTTTTAATCTATAAATCTAAAGCAAGACCATTAAAAGTCTACCAGCAGGATATTTTTGGTGGGAATTGACAAACTGATTCAAAAGTTCATATGGAAAAATAAATAAGAATAGCTAATAAAATTCTGCAAAGTAAATATAGCCAAGAAAGACTGTCAATTAAAATGTAAAGCTACAATCATTAAAATAAAGTTGTAACAGCATATAAACAGAGATTAATGGAACAGAAGTCCAACAGGACAAATAGGCCAAAAACTTAAACAGTCTTTAAAAAGAAAATACAACTGCCTTCTGAAACACAGAAATAAGCTCAACTTTTAATAAAATATAAGAAATGCAAATTACCTTTATTTTCTTATTGGTTGACGAAACCAAATATTTTCTAGTTCACGTTGTTGCTTGAGGTATAGGGAAACAAAAAATCAGTGTCATTGTAGCTAGTGAGATTGTAAACTAGTGCAACTTCTGTGAAGGATAATTTGACGAGATTGAACAAAATTACAAATGCACATACTCTTAAAAATTAACAAGATCACTTCTAGGAATTTATCCCATGGATATACTTGCACTTGTGCAAAATTATGTACATGAAAAGGATATTCATTACAGCATTGTTTTTGATAGTAACAGAAACATCTAAAATGTCCAACATTTGAAAACTGGTTAAGTACACATAGAATGTCCATATAATGAAATTTTAAAGCAGATGTTAAAAAAAAGACACTCTCTTTTTACATATATATGTGTATATATTATACACACACACATATAGGGAACTTACTCCAAAGTGCATGACTGAATGAAAAATATAAATGAACAAGATGTAGAACAATGTATGCTGCCATTAAAATATATAGGTATGTGTATAGAATGTCTATGGATGAATACATAGGAAACTTGTTAACATTAGCAGTATTTAGGGAGGTGAACTGGAGACCTAAAAATAACCGTAGAAGAGACCTTTCCGTGATTTTTGAATTATGTGCTTTATGAATGTATATTACATAGTCAAAAAAGTAATAATTTTAAAAGAAAAATGAAGTCAATTCACGAGGGCATCGAGAAAGAGAAGAGGTTTTCCTATTTTTCGCTTTATTGAAGCCAGTTTTAGAAAACTGCCAATCTAACATTTCCATAAAAAGAATTAACAGGCTCAAACAAATCAATGTCCATTTAGCTTTTTATCATTTGAGCTTGTCAGATTTCAAATGTGCAAATTTCCTGGGAACAGAAAAAAGTATTTGCTTTGACTTGCAATATGAAATGGGTTGTTCCTTTTCAAGTTGATTTCATCTGACATTGTTAAACACTTGAATTGCTGTTAGGTCATCTGTAGCCTAATTAACACTAATTGATCTCTTGAACGGCAGAATTATTAATGCATTTTAATTGCTCATTAGAACATCTGAGCTCCTCCAACATTGGAAGTTTGAGGTCTGGGATGGAAGGTGGGTATCTAGTGGGATCAGAAGCATCTCTCTTGAATTAAGTGCCTGTTATCACTGCATGCCCTGACTTTTGGCTCACTTCTCCAATCTAGCTTTTGAAAGCTTTTGTTGGATTAAAAATTTGCAAGCCTTGCACTTTAATCTTGTGGGAAAACAGGAGGGTCACACTGTAATTGTCAGCTGCTATCATGAAGAATGTAATTGGTTTGATAATAAGAAAAAAATGTTTTTCAGTGAAATGCCTAAGGGAGTGCATTGTTATCTCCTCCCAAATCGAAGGTAGAAGCACCACTGCTTTTTTTAGCCTTAGTTCCCCCGCTGTGAACACAAACAAGCAAAAACCTCAGCCCTTCTCTCCTTGCCACTTTGTTTGATTGAAATTTTTTTTTCTTCTGTAACATTATCTCGAGGTACGTTTTTTATTATGTTGTTTTAGCTAAAAGTTCAGCTCTTCAAAAAACTCTGAAATTCTTCAAATGTCAATTCATACTTTGAATAATAAAACCAACTTTCTCTTGCTGCCCTAACCACAACTCCTGTGCTGATGCCTCTTTATTTATAGTAAAAGCTGGAGGAAAGCGAATTTCCAAAAAACAGGAAATTGGCATCTTGGAGAGACACACCAAGAAAACAGGGCTAGAGAAAACAAGGTAGGAGACTGCTTCATTTCTTTTCCTTCTTCATCTTGAGTTCTAGACAACTCTACTGCCAGAAGTCAGAGACTTTGCTGTACCTTAGGGCAAACCACGCCTCCCCAGGCACTTGCTAACCAGAGTTAGAGGCAGCGAGTGGGGTGGGGTGGGGTGGGGTAGGTGATGGGGGTCAAGATGTGAGGGGAAAGGAGTGGGGGGAGACAACTACCCTCTGGAGACTCGCTCTGCCCAACCTCCTCCTCTCTGCAGATAGCTTAACTGCCTGCTATTAAAAAAACACAGTCCTGAATGCATCAGAACCGGACTCAACATCTCTGTATCTTATTTTCACCTTAGCCTTTAAAGTACTACTGTCTCTAAGCTGGCCTTGTTTTTGTAATACGCTTTCTGCTGAAGCAAATCTCCTGAATTAAAAATAAATGCTTTCTTGTTTGTTTGTTTCAAATTCCTCACTCAATTATTTAGAAAATAATGGCCACTATATTTGGCACAGCCGAAAGGCATTTGGATACTGAGGTTGTTTTCTTCCTGAATTCCTTCCCGGGTAACCTTGACACGCTGCGGTTTTCTCAGAGCTAAGCAGAGAACCATGGCCTGGATGTCTGTACAAATGGCCCAGCCCCTCTATGCCTTGGGTGAGGAAAATAGTGCCTTCAAAAAGAAGCAAGCATATGAAACTAGCTCCTCCAAATAGGGGCATTTCAGAGACTACTAATTTCAGGATAATTTCCGTAGGTGAGTGCACGAGTGATTCAAAAGGAGTGAATTATAAGATTCTCAGATATGTCCTTAACAGTTAAAATGGTAACAGTCTCAGAAAGAACATGTGGAAGAAAGTAGGCTGTGGAATTTCTCAGATTTTTTTTCCATATAAAATTACTTTTTAGATCACGTTAAAAATTTTCTTCTCAATTTCTGGAAAGAATTTTTTTTGAGAATTTTTCTACTTTAAAATGAAGTGCTCTATCTCATACATAAAGAATTCATACAATTCAGTAGCCAAAAAGCAAACACACCAGTTTTTAAATGGACAGAAGATTTGAGTAGACATTTTCCTGAAGAAGAATCAGATAACCAACAGGTACATGAAAAGATGGTCAACATTATTAACTATCAGGAAGAAGATGCAAATCAAAACTACAATGAAATATCACTATACATCTGTCAGAATGGCTATTACCATAAAGTCAAAAAATGACAAACTGTGGCAAGGTTATGAAGAAAAGGGAACATTTGTGCATTCTTAGTTTTTAACATAACCACTATGGAAAGTAGTATGGGGTTTCTTCAAAAATTAAAACTAGAACTGCCATATGATCCAGCTATTCTACTTCTGAATATTTACCTGAGGAAAATGGAAACACTAACTTGAAAAGATATGCACACTCCCACATTTATTGCAGCATTATTATAGTAGCCAAGATATGGAAGAAACCCAAGTGTCCATTAATGGATGAATGGATTTTTTAAAATGTGATACCTACATACATACACATATATGCACACCCACACACACACACACACAGAGGAATATTTTTCAGCCATATAAAAGAAGGAAATCCGACCACTTGTAATAATATGAATGGACCTGGAAGGCATTATACTAAATGACATAAGTCAAACAGAGAAAGACAATTAACATGTGATCTATCTTGTATGAGAAATCTAAGAAGAAAAAAAACCAGGACAACAGCAACAAAAATCTCAAGCTCTTAGATACAGAGAGCAGATTAGTAGTTGCAAAAGCTGGGGGTGGGGCAGGGGTGGGTGGTGATGGGTAGAAAATGGGTGAAGGGGATCATCAGGTACAAACTTGCAGTTATAAAATAAATAAGCCATGTGGATGCAATGTACAGCATAGTGACTATGGTTAATGATTTTGCTGTTGTTTAGTTGCTCAGTCGTGTCCGACTCTTTGTGATCCCGTGGACTGCAGCACACCAGACTTCCCTGTCCTTCACCATCTCCCACCATGACCCCTCCATCTTGGGTGGCCCTACGTGGCATGGCTCAATGTTTGATTGAATTAGACAAGGATAGTTAGTGATACTATATTGTGTATTTGTAAGTTGCTAAGAGAATAAACCTTAAAGCTTCTCATTATAAGAAAAAATATTTATATATGGTGAGAAATATTAACTAGACTTATGAACATTTTGTAGTATAAACAATATTAAATAATTATGTTGTACACCTGAAACTAATATAAGCTTTATGTCAATGATAGCTCAATTTTTAAAAATTTGCCCCTTTGACATTGAGTGTTTGTTTCTTCTGAATCAGAAAATAATCACCACATAGTGAAAGCAAAGCTCCAAGGGAGAGTCACACACTACTTATCTCCTGACTCAGCATCTAGGACAGTTCCTAGATTAGAGAAAGTACTCTGTAAATGACATTAGACTGTCATTGAATGGTCAGCTGGTTAACTTTGAAAGCCTATCCTGATGTTAAAATCTGACTCAAGCATGAGCTCTGTTTAGTGTGACACTTGTTATTATGCCTAGGCCAGGGACTCAGGAACTAAAGAGTCATAACTTGAAAATGACCTTCTAGTTGGCAGCCAGTGGACAAGTCATTCATTTCTCTGTACCTTAGCAAATGGGACTTACAGTTAATCCAAACATCAAGTGAACATTATAAGAAGGAATTGCCTAGAGAGTTATAAAGGGTGATTGGAACCCTGTTTAAAAATGCAATTGTTTTCTAATAGTCATTAAAAGATGAGAATTGGACTACTGCAGAACATAAACAGCTAGAAATAGCTCTTTTGCGCTATTTACTGGGGATAGATATAGGTATGTGTGACTCGAACCTTATAGAATTGGGAGGCCATTTTAAGGAAAAACAGTGTAAAATTATACATATGAAATGGGCAGGGCCCCTCCTCGAGCCTTGGAAGGAGACTGCACAGTGAGACCCTGGAGCTTCCCCAGCTTCCCCATGAAGTCACCTCTGTTCTTCATATTGGCCTCATGTTTGCACGGATAGATGGCTTCCTTTTCATGGACAAATATCTCCTTATATATTCTAGGAAAACAGCTTTTGAAAAATATATCATAGAAAATAAATTCCTAAGCATCATCAAATTTATTTTTCTTTCTAATAACTTCTACTAACCAACACACACACACACACAAAATAGGCCAAGAGCAGACTTCCTTCAAGAAATAACACTGGAAGCTCATCCCTCGTTGAAACTCTCCTACAAAATAACTTAGCCTGAGAAAAGAAGTCAGACAAAGAAGAGTACCTGCTATGTGGTGTATTTTACAACGTACAAACAAAGTCAAAACTAACATATGGAGCTGTAAGGCAGGGTAGTGATTATCCTTAGGGGCAGCTAGTTTGACTAGTGGTACAAGTCTGTAAATATTCGCCAACCTGTATGTGCACTTTTCTGCATGTATACTCTACTTTGAAGAAAATTTTTTAAATATTAATAAACATCATTATAACTAAAATTAGAATAACTCGGCCTGCAAAGCTTGTAGTTCATGTTCACACAGAGCAGGGCTTTGTGTTTTTTTTTTTAATCTTCCAGAAGTAGCCAAGCCGCATGAAAACTTAAAGACCAAGTAGAAAACCGTCTATACAAATCATTGAGCTTCTTAAGTGGGAAAGTTGCTGTTTCTAAATGAGGTTTCTTTTCGTTTTCACAGTGCCATTGCAAATGTTGCCAAAATACAGACGATGGATGCCCTGAATGACACGCTGGAGAAGGTGAGCCATGGGTGAGGCAGATCACGTGATACCCCAGCCACTTTTCACCTTGCTGATCATGCTGCATGGGTGAATGAGTTGATGACTGGAATTTTTTTCCAACTCAGAGGTTTGATGTCCCTGTGAAAGAATCTGCTTTCAGTTCAAGGAACACAGAGTCGTTTTGATGGGAAAAGCTGATGCTCCCGAATTCCTAGTGTCTATTTAAGAAATCATTTCAAAAACAAGATAGGAAATTAAGCAGGAATCATGATGCCATATTGGCAGAACTTTACATTGCCATCCACTTAATTCTTGGAGAACTTGGCATGTTGCTCTAAATAAGGCAAACTGTGTACTGGGAATTCAGCCCTTTTTGACCTTCCTCCGCACCACTGCTTTCCCATACGGAAATGTTTGATTTGAGGCCAGGATGGGTGGAGGGTTGCCCAGTTTAAGACTGGAGGAAGGCTGGGCACTGGCTGGCTTTATCTAATAAAGTCTATTTATAAAGGTGGTTGACAATTACTATTTTTATTTCTGTATCTTGAATTCTTTCTAAGTAGCTCAGGAAACTCAGAAAATTCTTCCTAAATAGACAGTGGTTTAATTTTGGGTTCAATAGTTTGTTTTTAAATGTTGCAAGTGATCCAATTGAGGATCCTTATTCTACTCCTAGGGAGCGGGTGGGTGCACTGAATTCAGGCATTGAAGAACCACTATTTCTGTTACCCCAACATATATTGAAGGTACAGGACTGGGTGTCCTTTGTAGAAGGAAGACTTGCTGTTATTGCCAACACCAGAGGTCTGCAATATTAATAGCTTAGAATGGAAATTGTGTGGCTAAACTTTTGGGACCTCTCTTTGGTACTGGCTTCTCCTCTTACTGTCTCTGAGGCCTTGGCCAAGTTATTGATCTTGCACCTCTGATTTGTCATTTGTGAGATGAGGATAAGGAAGAGATGGTTGTTGTGTGGCATCAATGAGATTCACACACAGGAATCTCTTAGAACAGTGCCTGACACAGAGAAACCTGTCTGCACTCTCTGATCTGATTAGTAGCATCAGTTTTATGACAGTGAAATGGACAGTTATGTCTGAAGCCCATGAGGCAGGTGGTAGTACCAGATAAGATCTTGATGATAGACCATAGCTACAGAGCCTTCTCACATGGGGGGGTGTGGTTCTCCCATCAGGTAGATCAGAGGGCAGGTCATAAGCGACTCTTTGCTTCCTGATTTTAGAAGAAGGGCAGGGATAGATGGTGATCTGCCTCTTGCATTCTCTGGCTCCTGCCCTCTAAACACCTCATCCTCAGGGGCAAGAAATGGCCACAGCACCTGGAACTGAGTGGAATAGATACATTCCTCTAAAATATGTTAACCCAAAATAAAGTGTTTAAAGAGAGTGGTCAGTAAAGGTCAATTATGCTGTACTTTAGGTATGATGCTGAAGTCTTCACTATTTTTTAATAGACATGTGTATATGTCTATGGCATAAAGGACTCTTTCCCTACCAGTTAAAAATAGCACCTCTGTATTTCAAAGATAAAATAATCAAATAACAACAGCAATAAGTTATATTTTGAAATCATAAGAAAACACAGAGATGGTGTGCTGTTACAAATATTTTTAACAGTAACTATGTGTTTTAAAAACCCTTTAACACTTAGCTCAATGTGTACTGGTGTGGGACTGTGTACATTACTGATTACAACAGTTTCTGGCATCACATATCAGGTACCTGGGTCCTATGCTGGCTCTGTCAGCTGTGTGTCTTTAGTCAGGGTGCTTCACTTTTCTGTGCTTCTATTTCCTTATCTGTAAATAGGAATGTGATTCACAGTATCCACTTAACAGAGATGTGAAAAGAAAATGAGGTTATATAACTTGTGCAAAGGACTCAGCACAGTGCCAGATGCACTTAGCCCTCGGGACGAGTTAGCTTCTATTCCCCGGGGGAGATGTCCTATAGAGCATCACTTGGAATCCAGGCAAAGGATAAGAGACCAGTAATAGAGTCCCAAGATTACCCTAAGTCACTATATTGAATATGGAGGTTGGTGGGATCCACGTGTTCCCTTACAGCTAAGAAAAATTTTCCCTAAATCCATAATTCTACCTAAAGTGTAATAGGATTTCATAATAAAGGTCAACCTGAGGTGGAAAGAACAATGCCTTTTAAAAAACAGATCTGCTGAGATCAGTGGTTGCCAGAGAGTCGGAGGAGTTGACCAAAAAGTGGGAGGAGGGAATTTGAAGAGTGATGGAAGGGTTCTGCATCTTGATTGTGGTGGTGGTCACAGACTGTATGCACTTAAGAAAATCCACAGAACTGAACGCTAAAGAAGGCATATATTTTACTGTAGATAAATTACTCTGTAATTTTTTAATGTAAAAATTGTGTGATTATTAATAAACAGCCTAATACAAAAAAAGACATAAAATACAGAGATGTGGATTTCTGCTAATAAATTTTCATCTGCATTATGATGACTCCCCCAACAATTCATATTGTCATGAAGATCTAACCATATATAATTGGACAGAAGAAACATTGTAGCAGTAATGAGGGTCATAGACTCTGCATTTATTAGCATTCAGCTAGAACTGTATCTAGTTACTAGAACCCATGTTAATTCTCATGCCAGTTTAAGAACTTAAGAGTCCAAAACAGAGTTACAACCCTACTTACAGGATCTCATCAACAATTCAACCATGGCAGGAAATTTCTATCCATGTACTATTCATGTCTGTATACCCTTTTAAAACCAACCTAGATTTAAGATTTGGGAGATTGGAAAACAATTCCCCAAAGGTTGGAATTGTACAAATCTAAGTGGAAAGTAGGGCTTCCCTGGTGGCTCAGTGGTAAAGAACCCACCTGCCAATGCAGGAGACGTGGGTTCAATCCCTGAGTCAGGAAGAGCCCCTCGAGAAGGAAGTGGCAACCCACTCCAGTATTCTTCCCTGGAAAATCCCATGGTCAGAGGACCCTGGAAGGCAACAGTCCATGGGGTCTCAAGAGTCAGATAAGCCTTAGTGACTAAACAATAACAAAGTGGAAAGCAACCTAAAATTCTCTCTCCCACTCTTTCACCCACTCATCCCCACACAGACCTCATGACCAACTACCTTCCTCCTACTCTTCCTTCCTCTCTTGTCAGTCTTTCCTACCTGTTTCAGCCATAAATAATGAAAGAATTCATGCTGCCCAGTGATGGGCCATGCAACGTGTTTATTCCTGCACAAGATGGGTTATATAAGCTCTCCAAGCTAAAAATCTGGGAGATCTGGTCTTAGACCAAATTCCACCTACTCCCTAGAGGTTTTTGACCTTTTAGAAGCCACATAGCTCCTCTGAGGTTTATGATTGCTCATTTACTTAATTATTTTAAGGCAAAGAATAAGAGAGAATGGTACTGCCAAATATGTTAATTCTCTGAATAGTCATGGAAGTAAGTTTGGCAATAGTTGTGAAGCTTCTCCCAACAGAAAAGTATCCAGTTAAGCCATTAGTAATGGGGTTGGGTTATAGTGTGGATGTGGGTGTAATGTTGAAGCCTGGTTAAATTGGGGCCACTTTTCAAGCTGCCAGCTGTGTCAACAAGGCCCATGGTGAGATGTATGTGAAGTGGGATCCTGGGGAAGAGGAAGCCATCAAAAGCATCTGCAAATCTAAAAAGGTTTCTCTTGTCCTGTGGATTAACATCACCGTAGGAGAATCCTTGAATTTCATCAACTGAATGTTTTGTTTTAAGCACTTTGCGTAATGGGGTGTAGAAATCTAAGTGCCAACTTTCAAGTTGGAAGTTAACACCCTGGAAAGATGAATGGAAGAGCTGCCAGTCTGCTAATACCACCTGACTTCAAGCTCTAAAACAAAACCTCCCACTGAGTTTCTTGCTTCTAGAATTTCTTTCACAACTCTAATCATAAAGACTTTTTAATATACTTCTTTGACTTTTTCTCTGAAGTGAAAAATACAGGTTCTGAGGTCACAACTACCCAAGAGGAAGGTACATTCTCAATGTGAAAATTTCTATTGATCTGCTTTTCAAGTCCAATATTTTGCCCCTTATGGGATGGAGTTGCAGCCAGGCAGAATCCTTACACACATACTAGCCTTGAATTCTTTCTCCTATGGAGTTACCCTAGTTTCTTTTACCTTAATGAGTCAGACAAACACCTTTCATTCTACAAATCCTATCATTTTACAAAGACTAATAATGAAAAATCCAAAACAACCCCAAAGTTAAGATGCCAGACTAAAGCTCAGCTGTTTGTAGATTGGAAAGCTATTCCTACTTATTTCTAGTTAAGACTTGAATACAAAAATGTTCCTATCTCCACTGATATAAAATCTACAACAAAGAATTAGGGCATTTAAGGGTTGATTACTTACCATTTCATCAGTTCTGAAGGTAGACCCTTTATAGGCTCTCTATCCACAACCCCTAAGTCTTTCTACTTTTTAGAGTGCCCCTGATTGAGGGGGTGAAGTATTTGAGAAAAAGAACTCAACTCTCTTGTTGTATTTTCATGCATTGCTGTAAAGCCCTGACCCTCCCAAACTTGTACATTTGTAATTTAATAATTATGAGCGGCTCCTCTCAGGTTATTATCCTTAGCAGAATTATTTCCACTATATTCTCAGTCCTATTGATTTTTCCCCCCCTGAAATTTACCAGGCCAGTTCACAGATGGCCAACAGCCCACAGCGGCAGTCTCCCATTCATTCTGACCTGTGTCTTTCCTCTTTGGAGAAGCCATTGAGCAGAACTCCTAGAACCTCAGTTAAATACCTTAGTTAAAAGGTAACCCCTAACCCTTGTGCATTACCAGTGGGAATATAAAATAGTAGAGCCACTATGGAAAATAATATGGTAGTATCTCAAAAAATTAAATATAAAATTACCATGTGATCTAATAATTTCACTTCTCAATATATACTCGAAAGAACTGGAAGTAGAAATTTGAAGAGAAATTTGTGCAACAGTGTTCATAGCAGCATTATTCACAATAGCCAAAAGGTGGAAGCCACCCAAGTGTCCATCAACCTATAAATGGATAAACAAAATGTGGTCTGTAGACATACAATGGAATATTATTCAACCTTTAAAAGGAAAGAAATTGTGACACTACAACATGGATAAAACTTGAAGACATTACGCTAAATGAAATAAACCAGACACAAAAGAACAAGTATTGCATACTAAGTCACTTCAGTCGTATCCGGCTCTTTGAGACCCCATGGACTGTAGCCCACAAGGCTCCTCTGTCTGTGGGATTCTTCAGGCAAGAATACCAGAGTGAGTTGCCATGCCTTCTTCCAGGGGATCTTCCCACCTCAGAGATATTGCATGATTCCATGTACATGAGATACTTGTGGTAGTCAAATTCATGGAGATAGATGTTAGAACAATGGTTGCCAGAGGCTGGAGGAGGAGATAATGAGGAATTATTCTTTAATGGGTACAAAATTTCAGTTTGGTATGATGGATAAGTTCTGGAAATCGATGGTAGTGATGTCCATGTTAGCACAAGTTCGTGTACCCGACACACAGTGAGTCCAAACACACCAAAACATCAGAGTTTAGAGCAGAGAAAGGTTTATTTGCAAGGCCATGCAAGGAGACAAGTGACTCATGCCCTAAAAAACCCCTGAGCTCCGTAAGGGTTTTGGCAAAGGATTTTTAAAACCCAGGTTTGGGGGTGGAGTCTCAAGGTATTGATCAGCTCTGCACAGTTCTCTGGTTGGCCGATGGTGAGGTAACAAGGTGATGTCACAGGGTTAACACTATCAGTCCTTAAACTCCAGGAAGCCTGGGGCTATGTACTCATGGTCATCAAGTAGTTAACAAGCCTTCCATTTGGTGGAGGGGTTTTCACATCTGTAAAATACCTCCGGAAATGTGCATCAAATACTATTATCTAGGGTACTTCAGAGAGGAGCTAAAGCGGATGATATGGGGGAAGGCCTGTCATGGGAAGACCCCATAGGGTCAAGCAAAGTTACAGTTATGCAACAATGTAAATGTACTTAATGCTGTACTTAAAATGGATGAAACGATCAATTTTATGTTATATGTATTTTATCACAATTTTTTAAATTACAAAAGAAATGTAGCCCCTGAACTGTGGGGATAACCCTGGAAGTGATCAAATAATGAGTTAGTGCCAAATTAAGCAATAGGTGTGTCATTGCACACTGTCCTCCTCTCCCCTTCCCTTTTACACCTCCACCCATCATCACTCTTGACACCTTAAGAACAATAATCCACACAGTGGCTTTCTCTCTTGTCTCAACTTGTCATCTTGCTCCATCTCACCTTGGCTAATTGCCCAGACTTCTGTTACATTAGAACTACTTGTTCATTTCCTTTCTCACCATCCTTTACCTTACATTTGACTTTAAGTAACTTCCCAAGTACTCCATCTTCCTACCTATATAATCTCTTGAATGCGATTTAGAGCTAACCTGAAATAATCCATCTGTTTTAGTTGACACTAAAGACACCTAATCTGAAAGAAAACTACTGAAGTCAGTGACTTCTTAAGTTTCCTTTTGGTTCTAACCTTAAAAGAAAAACAAAACAAAACATTCTGCTCTTACCACACTATAAAATGTATGTCATGGGGCCTAATGTTAATTAATCTGACCCTCCAAACTTACCAACTCTTTTTTAGTTTCTAAAGCAATATTTATAACCAATACCTCAATTATGTTTCTTCCTTTCTACTAGAATGTCAGCTTAGACCATCCTTGGGTTTAATTATTATATAACTTGTAGCTTCTTATTGCAAACAGCACTTTGAGCAAAACAAAGGCAAAGTAAAGAAAAAGACTAGGAATTGCCCATAATTCAATCCCTCAGAGATAAACAGTGTTAACACTTCAGTGTATATTCTTCCAGTGTGTTTAATTTTTTAAGACCAAGAAGAAAAAGCTTTCTGGAGTCATATTTCACATGAAAGGGAGTGCTGTGTGCCCAGAGACATTTAAGAAGACATGTAAGGCACTTATGTTTCCCTGGCTTAGAAGAGCCCAAACAAGCCATAAACAATGTGATGTTTGGGATCATGAACAGTTTATCTCCCCTTTTATTTGACTTGAGTGTCAAGGCAAGGGCATCTAAGTTCAATAGAAATAAATTAAATTCCTAGTCAGCTGAGACATCCCTTCCTTGCTGGCTGAGGAAGGTGTCCTTAGGTTGCTTTATATTGAGTCAGTGGGCTGGAAAACCAACAAGTGGAATGGGCCCAACAGGCCACTGAGTCCAAATTCTCCTCCTAGGAAAACTGTGTCTGAAATTGTCCCAGCATTGGGCATCCTTTATGATCTCATGCTGCCCTTGATGTGAATTCCATAAGGTCTCTTTGTCCCATATGAACTTCCTCTTATTGCTGAAGTCTCAAGTCTGTGTTAGTTTAGGCTCAGTTCAGTTCAGTCGCTCAGTCGTGAGACTCTTTGTGACCCCATGAACCACAGCACGCCAGGCCTCCCTGTCCATCACCAACTCCCGGAGTGTACCCAAACCCATGTCCATTGAGTCGGTGATGCCATCTAACCATCTCATCCTCTGTCGTCCCTTTCTCCTTCTGCCCTCAATCTTTCCCAGCATCAGGGTCTTTTCCAGTGAGTCAACTCTTTGCATCAGGTGACCAAAGTATTGGAGTTTCAGCTTTAGCATCAGTCCTTCCAATGAACACCCAGGACTGATCTCCTTTAGGATGGACTGATTGGATCTCCTTGCAATCCAAGGGACTCTCAAGAGTCTTCTCCAACACCACAGTTCAAAAGCATCAATTCTTCGGCACTCAGCTTTCTTTATAGTCCAACTCTCACATCCATACATGACCACTGGAAAAACCATAGCCTTGACCAAACGGACCTTTGTTGGCAAAGTAATGTCCCTGCTTTTTAATATGCTGTCTAGGTTGGTCATAACCTTCCTTCTAAAGAGAAAGCGTCTTTTAATTTCATGGCTGCAGTCACCATCTGCAGTGAATTTGGAGCCCAGAAAAATAAAGTCAGCCACTGTTTCCCTATCTATTTGCCATGAAGTGATAGGACCATGATCTTAGTTTTCTGAATGTTGAGCTTTAAGGCTCATATCCTCACAAATGTTTTCTGGAGGGATGACTAGTGAGCTAATTAAGTCACTCCTCAGCTTTCTCTTTACCATGATGGTTAGGTTGAACCATACAAAATAGCCAGTATTTGTCCATTTCTTACCTACAAAAAAAGAAATTTCACATGCTTCATTCTAAAAAATGATAACCCTAAGTTCCCCTAACTTCCTTCAGAGGCTCTTTATTTCTGATCTTTTGACATCTGAGGGGTTCCTTCTCCCCACCCCAAGCCCTCTCCAATGTGCCCATAGCCTTCTTAGCATAATATTGTGTTTCATATGTGCATAGTGGTGCCAGAATAATTGTTAATAGTGGAGAACTGATGAAGACACAGTTAACCATTTCTATCTTTAAAATATCACTTCAAAACATATATATAGATGCACATATCTATATTATTTATATATTATATATAATATATTTTACAGTTAAAAAATTAAAAGCATACTAGTGAAGGAAAACCCAGGTTAACACATATACTCATGGGTATAGAGCTAGAGACGGTATGGAAAAGAGGTTATATCAAAGAAGTAAACAAAACTGTGAAATTCCTCTGACCAGCTGTTTGCTTTCTACTACTTTAATACTTTATGACCCAAAAGATCCAATATGCTTATTTTTTTTTCTTTCCTTCTCACCTCTAGCTCAGCCATAAATTTCCAGCAGTAGTGCACATGGCACATCAAAAACCCAGACCTGCTCTGGAGAAGGTCACTCCACTGAAAAGGATCTACATTATTCAGCAGCCTCGAAAATGTTAAGCTGGGACGTAAAACACAGCCATCTAGCCAACTGCCTCGAATGTCTGAGAGCTTAGCAAAAAGGACCACAAATTTCATAGGCCTAGTGTACTTGCTTGATAAATAAAACAGCTTTTATATCTTCTTTTTTGACTTCGGATAATAAAACATTCAAAATTGCAAATCCAATGCATTCTTGGAGCCCACTCTGGTCCTAGCTAGCATCCTATTGATGTTGACTACGTGCGTAATTTTGTTGAATAAGTGGAGAAGATAGAATGCTGGGCTCTTCCACCCCACCTCCGTGGATGAGCTCTTCTTGATGCTGACCCTGAGTTGTTCAACCCACAGCAAGTTCTCCTTGAGGGCAAAGGTTAGAGAGGAGTGCACTGAGCTTTGCAAGGCCAACATTCCGTGCAAACCTGAGCAGTGACTCTTTCTGATACATTTGTCTTAGGATGCTCAAGTTTTCACTTGAGGTGAAAAGTCTTTTCCAATTTCCCACATAAATGTATGGTTTGTCTTGAAGTTTTGGTGAGGGAAAACGAAAATATTAGATTTATTTCAGACATATTCTCTTCTACAAAGCAATCAAGTTTAGAAGGTATTGATAGAATTCTACTTTTAGTGGCAGATTTGCTCTGCTGCTGCTGCTAAGTCGCTTCAGTCGTGTCCTACTCTGTGCTACCCCATAGATGGCAGCCCACCGGGCTCCCCCGTCCCTGGGATTCTCCAGGCAAGAACACTGGAGTGGGTTGCCAGTGCCTTCTCCAATGCATGAAAGGGAAAAGGGAAAGTGAAGTCGCTCAGTCGTGTCCGACTCATTGTGACCCCATGGACTGCAGCCCACCAGGCTCCTCCGTCCATGGGATTTTCCAGACAAGAGTACTGGAGTGGGGTGCCAGTGCCTTCTCCGACAGATTTGCTCAGGGCCTCCACAAAGTTCATGCTTTGCAACTGGGGGCTCCTGATGCTCGGGGCGTTGTGGTTGGGGTATAGAAGTTTGTTTTCACTGGAGGTGAAGCTGAGAGGGAAACTGTTCTGTAGTTAAACCTACTCTAGCTCTCTTGCCCTCCAACACACACTTCATATACTCACAAATGAATAGCCAAAGACATCCTTAGGTGACAGTAGGGGACAACCACATTTTTCCCCCACAGAGGTTAGCTGCCACTCATGGCTCACCATTCTGTACCTCTAATTAATAATGTTATCCAGCAGTAAGCATTTCTCTTTACCCAGGGAAGGGGTCAGTACTTCACTCCATCACTTTACAGGCTGACAACACTTGGAGTATGACTTGATACCAAGACTGTCTCTGATTTCTGGAAATCCAAAGGCACCTGGCAAAGGCCCAGAAGTCATGATGATACACCCAGCTGCCTCCCCTGCATTGTATGGTTCTTCTTCAGTATTAGAAGATCTGTTTGAGGCAATATCAAGCTTCCAGTCAGCGCCAGCATGAATCAACACAACAGTAATAACCACCCCACACTGGCTTAGCTCGGTACCTGGTCCTCTGGGAGTACGGTCAGAAAGATGACTGTTGCAATTCAAATAAATGCACAGATGTTCAAAGTCAGCCACCACTTCCCCAGGGACAGTATCAAGGTATAAACCAGATAGTGAGTGCTTGGTGTAATGGTGGACTTCAATTAGGAGACTGGGGTTCTACTTCTGACCCTTACTAGGTCGTAAGCCTCAAGCAAGCCTCTCAACTTTTCTGATCCTGATCGTATGCGCGTAAGAACTTCTGACTCCTCAGTTTAACCCCCGCAGTGGCATCCTGGGAAGAAGAAAAAATGGGTACTTGGATTTATAATAAGCCATTTAAAGATTATTGAGGACAAGATGGTACCAGGATGATTGTTCAAGAAGCTACCAGAACTATAGTAATTGGAGAGAACTATGAGAGTTGGTATAAACAGAACCTTGGATAGGAAATTCAAACAAAAGCTGAAGATTTGGCTAGATGACAGCAGGGAGGCACCTGGGGAGGATAAGATACGTGGGAAGCAAGTAAGGCAGCACTGCACATTTGCCTTTCCTGAGGGTGATCTGAAGGCCAGCCACCCAAAGGAAGTGCAGAGGGTACAGGGTGCCATTATCTCTGTCCCGAGAAAGAAGGTGAATTGCGGGGGAAGAGAATCTGCTCAGAGGGACACTAGGCAGTGAGGAGTGCACGTTAACCGAGGCCCACAATGGCCATCACTTGAATCACAGAATCACAGGAAGGAAGAAGTTTGATGTGAACTCCAGAGCTGAAGGAAACCAGAATGATCTTAGAGAATGTCTTGGAATGACTAAAAATATCTTGAAGAGGAACTAGGCTGGTACGAGAAAGTTGTGCTGATGGAAAGCCGCAGGGGCTGTTCCCTCTGCCTCCTGAGGAGCAAAGCCATGTGCCGATGGGCTGTGGTCCCACGTGGTTAGAAGTCCCTAAGTCTAGGGCCCAGTAAAAGCCACCACAGTGGGGGAAGGGTTTACTGATGGATAATTTAGCTCATTTCATCTCAGTTCAACAGGATCTATGCTGGGCATGGTCAACGGGATAAAGATACTAGCCCTTGCACACTAGAAGCTCTTAGGCCAAAGGGAAGTTGGCGAGCCAACAAACCAATGTGGAAAGTCTAGAAATGGCTCAGTGAGTGGTGAGGGATGTACTGGTGATAAAGTCATGCAGTAAAAAAAAAGGAAAAGAAATATGTTAACTGTGGAGATTACTGACTCCCATGCAGATCTTTAATATTTTGAGCTTTTTATTATGGAAATTTTCAAGCATATAAAAGTTGAGTGAATAATATATTGAACCCTCAGGTACCCATTGCAGAGCTTCAACCATGCAGCCAGTTTTGTTTGATCTACAATAGCGAGCACCCCCTCTGCCCCCACTACCACTTCTTTCTCTATCCCTTCTTTTTTTGTGGTTATTTTAGAGAAAATTCCAAACCTTAAATAATCTTGTCTAGAAATACTTCAGTATGTTACCTCTGAGAGATAAGTGCTCCTGTGTGTGCACATACTCCTCCCCCACTCTCAGCTTAATTTTACAAATATTGTAGAGCAAAGGGAGTATTTATGCAAACCATCCAAGAATCCTTCACCATAAAACGGAGACTGGCATTGCTATACTAGCCACAAAAGCCAGAAACCAAAAACAAAACAAAACCCCACACACACACACAAAGAACAGAGGCAGTAACAGCCACAGAAATGACTGCTGTGGAATCTGAGAAAACAGTAAGAAGTGGACTTCTCGAGAGGAAGTAGAAAACGAAGATGACTCTCAAGTGGAAAGAAAGAAAAAGGTAAACATGCCCTTGTCAGGGGAAACAAGAAGTGTAGTAAATACCTCCTGCTGAGGAAAAGGATAAAGAGAACACTTAAAATAATCCTGAGGTCACTCAGAGGGAAAAAAAGTGGTTTGAGGTAGGAATAAAGAAGGGTAAATTAATGGTAGTAAAAACTGAAAATGATTTATTCAACAATTATTAAGTTTCTCCTGTACAATAGGCTTTCTTTAGATGGAACTCAGGTCCAAGGAGGGTACAGCATCTTGACTCCATGTTCTTAGGGAGTCACCTTACCCCAAAATAGTCTCCCTGCCTCCAGCAAGGCTGGTGCCAATTCTTCAGCATCTCAACATTTTCATCCAAATAGGATAGAAAGGATGAATGATCAATCAATAGTTAATTAGAGAAAGCAGTGACAGAGAAAAATGCAGAGCCAAAGGAAATAGAGGAAAAATTTCAGAGGAAATGTCATAAGACTAAAAGAAAACACACACACACACACAAATTAAGATGAGTAAAACTTCATCTACATGATTTGCATACAGTATTTCATGACATCTTCACAACAATCATGAGAGATGATGGCTGTTGTTCCATTTTACAGATGAGAGAAATAAACCTCACAAAAGTTAAGAGATTCTCCCAAGGCTTTATAGCTTGTTAAGTGGTGAAGTTTCTCTGGGAATCTTTAATATCAAATATAGAACTGTCTCCATTATCCCATAAGAACGCAGGCTGGAGATGAAGCTTAGAAATCTCCAGAAAGATACAGAAGATATGAATGTAACTTGGGCTTAAGAAATAGAGCTGAATTTGCAGAGAGAAATCTATGTATGAAAGGAAAAGGACTGCTTTGGGACTTATCAAATTCCTCAATGGGAAAAGAGCCACCAAGTTCAGATTTCCAGATTTTTGTTTAAAAGTTTGGAAAGATCATGGAAGTGAAGCAGGTTGAGAGGAAAGATGCAATTTTTATACCTGAACCCTCAAAAGAAAGAGTGCACGCAGAAAAAGGAAAATGTGCACAGGATGCCTCTCCCGTGTACAGCAAAAGACATGAGTCTGGGGGAGAAGTCAAGTGCATCTTAGGAAAGGAGCTGTGGCACTGGATAAACAAAAGCTGACCCCTCCAGTGAAGTATTTGTTATCGGCCTGGAAGATATAGATACAAAAATGTGAATGTTTTCTATTAGAACTTTCCAAATCAATCTGAATAATTGCAAAAGCATATCTGGATGACCTGGATGCCCAGTTTATCAGCAGATATGAAACAAAACCTCAGACTCAAGTTTGTGCTAGTCTTTTCAACCCCAGTCTCATTGGGGTCAATCATACCACTACTATAATTATCCAAAAGCTGTGAAAAAAGAAGAAACGAAGCCTTACCACGTAAATGTTCTTTGTGAACAAAAGTTTCAGAATAGTTTGAAAAGAATGTGAGAGAACTGAGTCTTCTAATGCTTACTAGAGTCAGGAAACTGTCCGTATTAACCAGAACCACATCTGTATTAAAATAGCAATTTATCATAAAATAATTTAGGTCAATACTGTATGTCCAGAAGAATTTTTTTCCTTTTTTTTAAAAAAGCTCTATCAATTATTCAAATTTAAAAATCACTAGATTAGAGAGAGGGATATTTATTTAGCTGTCTGTGCTAGCTAGCCATTTAAATATAGTACTTTGAGAGTATCACAAGCAAAAATGCTGCAGGTCATAAAATTTAAAGT